TCATAATTTTATCTAATAAAGAACTAGAGGAAAGACCTCCCTTGATAAAAAAAAAAAAAAAAAAAAAAAAAAAAAAAAGTGATTATTTGTCGGTGATTGTAAAACTGCTTATGAGTTACTTATCAGTTACTTATTAGTTTTTATAAACAGTATACCGAACAGATTAGTTAAAAAAAACTAGAATGATCCAAAATTGATCTATAACTTATCAAAATTGATCTGTTACTTATCAGTTTTTATGAGTATAATCACCTAATTTTATATAGTCACAACACTACTAAAAATTTCTGCCCATATGTAGTTTTTGTTCAAATTTTTTATTTATATTAATTGTAGCAATATGAACAAAATTACAAAAAAAATTTTTACATTAATATGTATTAAATTATTTTATGTAAATTTTTTTTAATTTATATATATTTTGAAAATCTATTATTATATATTTATTGATTGACCTTATATAGTTTTGATTAATTATAATATTAAATGCCCCAATTCTTTACTATCACTAAATCGGGTGCCAGCTAGCATCACATAATCCAGATATGAACCCAATGTAAAACGGATGTTTGGCACAAATAGAAGACCTTTAAGATACAAAATCGGGTTTATATAGGCGTTCAATACATCAGAATGCCAATAGCTCTATAGGTAAATTAATAAAGCTTTATTAATTTACCTATAAAACTATTGGTATTCTGATGTATTGAACGCCTATATGAACCCGATTTTGTATCTTAAAGATCTCCTATTTGCGCCAAACATCTGTTTCACATTAGCTAATTCTCTAGCAGTTGGTCGGTTTTGAGGTTCTGCATCTAAGCATTTATTCATCAAATCTAAAAAGTTTTATATCCGATATCTGGTCTATGATTTAGACAAACTTGAATTGCTAGACTTTCATTATGTGGAATATCATAATATGGAGAATATCCAGTAAAAACTTTTGATATAGTTATTCCAAAAGAATAAATATCAGAGTTTTGAGTGTATTCCTTTACATTCATATACAATACTTCTGGTGCAATATAGGGAAGCATACAAAAAAGTGCTTTAAAACTTGAGTCTTGTGACATAGCCAAAATCGATAATATAAGAGCTATACATATTTTGATTAAGGAATAATCTAGGTTTTATCATTGAGTGAATTCCTACTCCTTCCCCAGAGCTTTTTTAGCCTTCCTTCTCAAAATAGTATTGAGTGCCCTAGCCGCCGGGCCTATAGCAGGATCCAAAAAATCCCGCGTGTGATACCTAAGGAGAATCAAATTAGGGGGAATTGAGGTTCTTTGATGTCAAAGTTAGAAATAAGTGCTGTGTATTCTTTGGGGCATTGCAAATCACAGGAGTCAGACCTTTCAGTATAGCAACTGCAGTGCTCATATCAACATAGTCCCTGTATATGATAGTATCACTGGATTCTGCAATAGATGCATTGACAGCTAGAACTTCCTGGAGTGCAATAGTAGAAGCCTTTACAAATGTGGACATAAATTCAAGTTTGACACTATGTTTCTTGAGAACTGCGTCTTTGTAAATATTATAAAGCTTAATAATATTGTTAAAATATTATTTTAAATTTTTTGTCATAATAGTTTTGATGTAAATATATACATCATATCAATTTCATTGAAAGTTGCTAATAAGGCAGCAGTATTTTGTGATTCTTTCAAACATTCAGCAATTCTCAAGTGCATTCTGTTCATCTTAACCTAAGCAACAAAAACTCACTATTAATAACACGCTAACCTCTTTTGCTTGATCTATCAAATACATAAAGATTCTAAATAGTAATACCTCACACTCTTCTCTTACACTGTAAGGAGATTCTCCTTTTGCTTTACTTGAAGGTTGTAAAGGCGCAGAAGGTGGTGGTAGTGTTGGAAGTGCGGAAGGTGGCAGCGTTGGAGACTAAACCCGGATTAAGCCACCCTTTAATTCCATCTCCTATTGTCGATTCCTTCTGCTATTAACTCCTTTATTTTTAATAACTCCCTGAAATTACCCTTAATCTTGATACTTCGTAAAAAGTGAGTTACTTACTTATTATATATTTTGAAAAAGATAATTAAGGAAGGAAAGGCCACAGCTGAGGTATCACATATAGAAGGCAATGTCAAGAGTAGATATAATCAGAGGGCTGGGTTAAGCCGGGGTTCAGATAACAACCCAGTTTAGGGAATTCAAAGGTTATATTTTCAGAATGAAAATCTTTATGCACTAATTTGATGTTATGAATTGTATCAAGCCCATCAGCTATGTAATATAGGTTAGCTATTTTAGAAGCCTAGTCTAATTCACCATATTTACTATCTAACAATTTTCAGAGACTTCCTTGCTTTGCATACTTCATAATTACCTGTTATTCCATAAATCACAATTGCTAAATAGCCTCCATGTATATATTGATTTTTAATCTATATAATAAAATATCAATTAAAGTAAGATTACTATACTTTAATAAATATTAAATTATAATACTTACTTCATCTGAAAATTCTCAGTTCATATCTTTAGAATTATCAAGACTTTTTAAACAAACATTTATTTGCGAACTTCTTTTCCACTTATTCGTTTAAAAATCGAGTCCTATAATATATCCGTCAATCCATACTGCCTTAAAAACAGTGCCAAAGCCTCCTTTAGCAAGATACTTTATATTTGCAAATTTACTAAAGGGTATCCATTCAATAATGTCTTTAAACTTCTTTGCATTTGTTGAATTAATTGATCAGCATCGTGGTTGTCACTTGTGCAGTTATGAAATTCTTTTTAAATCTTAATATTAAAAAAAATAATAATTATTATAGTAATTAAGAGCTATGGCTATAAAAAAAATATCTAATATATATGTTCTATTATGTGTTAATATAAACAATTATTATAACTACAAAAGCTATATCTTACTACAGTGACCCATCTTAAGTGCTTGTTACTTGTCATCATAATACTCATATGTGGCAAGATTGAGTTAGTTTGTATTGGCATTACAATCGTGAATTCTATTATAAATTACTACTATAAATACAAATTTATACATATACCTTACAGTAGTAATAGAGCACATGTTTCTGGTACAGGGATTAAGTTAGCATCGAAAATTCTGCTAAAGAACTTACTCCAAGTAATTAAAGTTAAATTAGTCAACTTTACAGAAAAAAAATTTTGGTGCAAAACATACCCATTATTTTGGTGACACGGATTTACATTATATTGTGAGGTAATGCAGTAATGTAAAAAAAAAAAAGTGTGTTACAGAATTTATTTGTTTTGTACTGTTGTAATATGACATAAAAAATATAAGTATATAATACCTTCCAGGTCAATTATTCACAGTAAATAGTTATTTAGCACGTAGCAAAAAAAATTGGTAAAAGCAATATGTTATAATTACGCGTCAAAGTACTATAAAGTGTTCTATTTAAAAGTAAGCCAATAAGATTCTTACGATTTACAGCTACACAATTTAATAAAATTAATTTATATAGGTAATCTAAACGTTATCATTACACACAAATTTTTGTAGTATATAGTTATAGATTAATTTTTAATTATATTCAATTAATTTTTAATTTTTGTAAAAAAATCTATTAAAATTTCAGCTCTTATTTAACTTTGTTATAGTAATTAAAAAACTACAAAAATTTGTCACTAATCTATATTTATTATATTTATTTAATAGAGTTAATAAATTTGTAGCCATGGCGTGGCTACTGTAACCATATCCCATAAAAGCCTATCAAATTTTAAGATCAGATGTAATGTAACACAAGCAAAAAATTCAAAACAAATGATCATTTTGTCAAAAATTGTTTATAACTCAAAATTGAGTATATGAAACTACTCTTTAAACTCTAATAAAAAAAATTCCTTGCAAAATTTTACTATAAAACTCCTCTGTTCACCTGTATACTATCTTTAGCTCATCTTAACTCTAATAAACAAAAATAAAGGTTATTTTAATTGTTTTGATAGTTAAGTTACACCTGATTTTAGTTACGGCTACAGTAACCTATGGCTACAAATAGATTAATCCTATTTAATATTGTTTACTATAAAAATTTTAAAGTTGTAACTTTTCTATTTAAAATGTTAGAGGAGGTGGAATTCCTATTGTACGTACATACAAATGTACAATTTAATAGCAGTTGATCAAGATATCACACAGATCAGATAAATAATTTTTTTACTATGAAATTTGAGTAATCAACACTCATATAAGAAATTCAATTTTCATAGTAAATTGAAACAGTTAGCCATTTTCAACTATTGTTTTCAGGAGTTTTCTAAAAGAAAACTACACTTATAAGATGTAGTGAGTGTTTAGAAAGTTAAATATTATGCAATAGGTAAGTTTAAAACAAGATAAAAAATAAATCTAAAAGAATCTTGTTTGCAAAGTTAGCCTTTTGTTTTATATTCCATAACACTTGTGTACAATAGATCTTAACATTTTGATAATTTATAAAGGTATTTTTTATGTAATATAAATATTTTTAATAGCTTTACTCGATTTTAAAAGCATTTTAACAAAAAAAGAACAAAGTACTAAAATATTTGATTGTTAAGGACAAACTATATATTAAATCAAAAATTTAAGCAAAAAATATATATATTACTGTAGCCACATATTACATACTAGGTGAACTTATAATTAGAATATAGTTTAGTTATACTATATGAATAGTTAACAAACATGTATATATTACAGAATTAAACTAATAAAAGATAGTATAAATTTTTATTTATTGAAATAGTATTACTAGTTATATAGATAAGAAAAGAAACAAAAAAAATAGATACAAAAAATCAATTATCTCACGAACTATTGATTAAAATTGTGTAATTTGGGTACTATTTGATTCATCTCAATAAGATGAATCGAATGGTACCAAAACCGCACAATTCTGATCAATAATTTGTGAGATAATTGATTTTTGTGCCTATTTTTTTTTGTTAAATTCATATTTTTTCTCAGCACCAGGTTCATATTATGAATTCTTATAAAGTGTTGTTGATGCAATATATGAGTGACGAAAAGAGAAAACCTGTAAATCATTTCACTTATTATTATAATGATTTACAGGTTTTTCCTTTTCGTTACTCATATCATAATATAGCAAAAGTGTAAATAATAAAAGAATATAGTTTCACCATGAATATCACAGGTTGAATTAATAAATATCAGGTGCATATTGGAAGACAAGTTTCCTGTTGTGTACCCAATAGTCTGCCATAGATCTGCCAAATAACTGCTGAATAACAGTAGCATATTGGCAGAATATTGGTAAGATATTGGGAGGTAGATCAATATCGGCAATATAATAGCACAATATTAGGATACTCTGATAGCTTACTCTTAGCATTCTGGGCCTAAAAGTAAGATATCAGAATATCCCAATATTTTGCTATTATGTTGCTAATATCTATTTGCCTCCCGATATCTTTCCAATATTCTACCAATATGCTACTGTTATTTAGCAGTTATTTGGTGAACCTATGGCAGGCTATTGGGTACATAACAGGAAACTTGTCTTCCAGTATGCACCTGATTCAACCTGTGTATAAGTTGCTATATATTAAAAAAAAAAAAAAAAATTTATTAGCAAAATTGCAATCTATATACTGCAAAATAGTTTTTCTTAATTTACTCTATATTTTTATAAGATACCCTTCTTTTAAAGATGCATTTCACAGAAAGTACTTACTTGTGTGCATCTAACAAGCTATTTTTCATGTCAAGATCTTGAAAACTCCAAAAGAATCTTGTAAAGAAAGGTAAAATAATTGCCCATCTTCAAAGGAGTCTTATATTACCTGGTAACATTAGTTTTCTATATTCTTTATACTGTTTGATTCATTGAAGCTCTAGTAACCTATTTGTTTTAAAAAACGCCATTTGTTGTGACTACGACTTTGGAGAAAATTTAAAAAATGTGATTTCGTTGGCTTGTGTAATTTATGAAAATCATATGATGAAAAATTAGGTGTGACATCTCGATCGACTGATAGTTTGCAATGAAATGATCGACAGTAACATTGACAGTATTTTATGGATAACAGAAAATTTAAAAAGTATATCATCGTTAGATCAGAATAATACCATTACATATATGTGAAATCAATTAAATGTTTCACAATAGGCAATAGGTGGTCAAAATTTTCAAAATTTGGGTATTTTACAAATTCGCCGTAATGAAATATTATCTCTAGTAGATTACAGAAATATGATATTTTCAAAGGAAAATATTTTTTTAAAAAAATTTAGAGGCATATCATTTCGAAAAATTACCAAACACTTAGGTTTAGCATATCTTTTATAAGTCGGGTTCTTAATCACTTTCAAAAATATGGATGTATTGAAAAGTTTCCGTCACTTTCAGAACCACGTTCACTGAACCACAATCCGAGGTGGAACTCTTGTTAGACGTTATGACAAAAAGGGCTACGAACCAACTTGTATATACAAATAAAAGTAATATTTATTTATATACAGGATCTTCTTCTAACATGTACTTCGTGCAATATGTTTATTATAAAAGTCTAATTAATATTTTTTATATTTCTTGTTAAGACTTAATTGACACATTAAACAAAGTTTAATAATGTTGACATTATTATTACAACGGTCTGTAGAACAGTCATTATTAAACTTTTATTATACAGATCATGAAACTTAATCGAATCGGCCGAAAAATCATTATCAGGTGTTCCAGGGATTATGAAAATAGCTGTAACTGTTAAATACGAAAAAATCAACTGTTACGAAAAAAAAATTAAATACAAAAAAAATAACTAAATATGAATAAAAAAAAAATTACAGCTGTTTTCATTACAGCTATTATCATAATTCCTGAAACACCTGATAAAAATTTGCCGAATGATTGTTTGGCCGATTCGGTTAAGTAATTTCGGCATGGCTTATTATATAATTAAAATAATAAAAGCTATTATGACCAATTATTATAATAAATTTTCGTTCCAACGCTTGTCCAACAACATGCTTGGTATGTTTAAAATTTATGGAAAAGACTACTCGTGTCAACCAATAAACCGTAGCAAGAAATCTAAAAAAGGGGCCGAATATAAATTAGACTTTTATACAAATATATTACACGAACAGGTGCCGCTATTAAAAAAGTTAATATGATCATGAATTTGTCGACTGGTTTAAAAATGAATCTCAAGTTAGGATTCCAAGCGACCAAGATATTATTAATATTTGTCGAGAATGAATGAAGAATTATCAAAGTAAAAAATTTTATATGTTTATATTTATTTATATATTGAAAAATTTTAGCACTAACGATTAAAATTAGTTCAAAAATGGGATCCAAAATTAAATGAAAGTATCGAAATGGATTTAAGAATTAAAGATTGTCCATCTGAAGCTGATAGTTTAGAAGACTTGCTGACACCTATAGATATCTGCTGCAATTGTGTATGGTTGTTTATTTAACACTTCCGTTGCAACATAAGGTAAAACGCCGTAAATACTATCTTCTAAATCAGTTTCATCATTCTTTCTGGATAATCCTAGATCTGCAATGTAAGATATTAGGTCACCATTAATATATTGATTTTGCAATATATTACCGCTATGAAAATCTCCATGAACATATTCTGCTTTGTGTACTTTTATTAAATTTTCGGATATATCAACAAGTTGCTTTAATTTAATTTTCCAATTAAGTTCTCTAAAACTTGAGGATAGGAATTTATGAAGGCTTCCTTTATTTGCATATTGAAATACCATCATGTATTCATTATTAGTTGTATTTTGAGTTAGACCATATATTTCGAGATTATTGCCCACTAATCTACATTCTATATAACTTTTGAACTTGTTAAATAAATAAATTTATAATGTTAATATATTATCTTATATTAAGTCATAAATAATTTGTTCCAACTTACTTCTCTTAAAAAATTCTTTCGTGAATCAGATAATGTTTTGAGTGCAACTATAAATGATGGCGTACGTGATTGTGTGTATTTTCCGGCTCCATCTAAAATAGTTCTTTTACCATCTAACCATGTTGCTGAAAACACTGTGCCAAATCCTCCTTTACCAATCTTTTGAACATTGTCTAATCTATTAAACGGAATCCATTCTATTACATCTTCATAGTTTATAGCTTTAATTTGAAATTCTTTAATGCAATCATCGATTTTCTTATTTCCACTAGTCCATGCTTGGGTCGTTTTTTGAGGATCACATGTTCGACACCAAGCTGGTGATGTGTTATATCGACTGCAATCAGCACATTCTCCGTTATTCGAATCCCTTTCAAAATTAAGAACTAATATATATTCGTTTGTTGCAGTATCTTGAGTTAGGCCGTACACTTTAAATTTACTACCCTTTGATTGCAATTGCATGAAATCTTTAAACTTATAAATAATAATATATTATTACTCGAGGAAAATGAATAAGCAATAAGCCAAAATTTAACTTACTCTATTTAACAAATCTGATGAATTTTGAGAATTATTTAATATTTTAAGCTCCACTTTATATGTTGGCTTACGTGATTGTGTATATTCATCATGGTTTATATCACGAGTTTTATTTCTGTGTTTTATTTCTATGTGTTTTATCTACATAACGTATTCCATCTAGCCAGGTTGCTAAAAATCCATCACCAACCATTTGAATATCAACTAATCTATTAAAAGGAATCCATTCGATTACATCTTCGTATTTTGTAGCTTTAAGTTGA